AACATTTTGTCATCGTTGTTTTTAACTAGATGTGTGTCAAAATATAAGTCAATCTATTTCTATTGTTGAATTGCTTAGTTTCAAAATAAATAACATCCATATTAATGTATGTATATTCTTAGTAAATAATAGAACTAAATTTGAGTCAAATTTAAGACATTTCTCTCTTTAATAAATTATTTAACTCCATTGTTTTAGTTGAATATTGAATAAGAGCAGTGCATAATAATTTGTAGAAATGATTAAGAATAATTCGAATTGGGCATAATTTTAACGTTATAAATTTAACAGTGTGCACTAAAAGAAAAGATTGGCTGCTGCAGCAAATTAGATAGTAAAATATGGCATAGCATTTTTAATTGGCTGCAACAATCAAAAATTGGCTGTTGCAGCTAATTTAAAACGCTATGCCATATTTTATCATCTAATTTGCTGCAGCAGCCAATCTTTTCTTTCAGTGTGGGACTGTCTAATTTTGAAATCGCGATCCTGCTTGTCGAGCGGAACGGTTCCGGCTTCCGATGATGTAAATCCATTCTAAAAGCGATAGACGCGAGGAAATCCGTGGTGTACCTCGCTTCGTTTTGCCCTCAGGTATTTTTGAGGAGCGTTTATCCGCTCCGTTTACTGCCGGGCGGTTTCGCTTGTGGTGGCGAAGTGCAGTCGCATGCGTAAACGCTAAAATAGAATAGCGCGCACGTCAAACAGCATTACGGGCCTCCTAATTTCTTGCTTAGCCCGGCTCATTTTCGGTGGTACGAGTGGCGGCGAGGCACGTTGTAACGCACAACGTACGCTGACGGAAGCGTAAAAAGAGGGTAAGGGTGAGGTGGGAGGGGGTCGTATCAAAGCGGATGTGCCTTTGAAGTGGTCGGTGCGTTAATTGCCGCGGAGTTTTCGATCGTTTCGCTTACCCGAGCCCGCCGGCTCGTGGCATTAATGGGACTCGAAAGAGAGAGGGGGGGAGGGGGGAGGAATTACGAGAGAGACCCCATCACGCCGGTTATAAATAAAGCGGGGGCCCCCTCGAGCATTTCGCCGAGACTTCGCAATCCCCGTGCTCGTTGTGTATCCGCCGGTACCACTTGTCTCACTTATCATCCCGCGATACTCCCTATCGCTCAGCCGCATCTGGAAAAAGTTTCTCCCGACTATACGTTCGCGTCGTATTTACGCCGCGCGTTCGTTGCTCATCTCCGCGAAGTCAAATAAGAAAGACGGGACTGCGGATATCCGCTTTGAGAAGGTGGAAAGGGTAAGGGAGGGGGAAGGAAAAACGACGCTAATATTCAAGAATTAACTTTATCTGCGTTCAGCCATCGCTGCTGCAGAGATTAGCAGGAAATTGGTGGCTAATTGGCAGGACGGAGAATTGCATAAATTGATATTGGTTCTTATACGTTCGTCTATCTTCACTGAAAATATAATATGAAGAGATAATTATGTATGTAAATTAAGATTATGCATAAGTTATAACTTGATTAATGAGAACGTGTTCGTGTATCACATGCAAGTCGCAATGAATAGCTTATTCGATACGTCGTAGGATTTTACACTTAAGATTTTTGCAGACAATAATGGGCGTGTAAAGTTTATCTTGATTTCCGTACAATTTTCTTGGGAAAATTTGTGTAGCACGCTCATCGATGACACACGAGAAGAACCACCAGGGTTATCCGAAATTTACATTTAGCCTTAAAAAAAAAGAATTTCGTTTAATGTCCAATGTGTAGACTGTTTCTTTATGTTTCGAAGCATTCGATAATTTTGGCACGTTTCAACGTTTCTCATTTCCATTTCGACGGGTTGTTCCCGTTAAAACATCGACAGACCGTCCGCAAGCGCGGAAACAAGTGTAAAATGTTTTATTTTCCCAAAAACGTTTCAACTCTAAAATGGTTACGGCGAGCGCATCCTATCTTGGCACAGATCCAACAACACAACTTCACTGAGTCGAAGAAAACCCTTATACTTTCGTAACGTCGACAAAGAACCACCGCAGCCGTCGAGTGCATATAACAGTATTTCTTCGCCAACAAAATTACTTAAATTTTGCAAATATAAAGCCCAGTTTCCAGTTTACGGTCGTCTCGAGAAAGCACACATGATAATTTGACCAGTTCATTGGCAAATACGGGGTTTCATATCGGCAATACTTTACCTTGAAAATAGTCCAGTGGTCGGCTTGTACTTGATCTTGAAATCATTCGGAAATAAATCGGAAATAACGCGAACTCGCTCGGACGTATGAGAATTTATTCCTGAATTCGTCGGGCAGAATTAATCTGGCTTTTACGGTGAACGCGTAATCGGATCTTTTCCATTCTGATCTAAATTGAATCGTTCTCTACAAAGCGGAAGACAAATCAATCCTTTTGACAGGTCAATTTCGAAAGTCCTTTACCTTTTCACGAAAATAATAAATAATTGAAAACGTGTGCAAAAGTTTCGAAAATTTTTATTATATTTTAATAATTTTTGTAAGAGAAAACGTGCATAGAAATCAGTAATATCTTCATTGTATTTTAATTATTTTTGATAATTTTTGCAAAAAAAAAAAAATTTAACAATAAATGTCATCAAATATCCTTCTTTAGCACTGAGAAGCTCTTCTTGTAATATTCAATTTAATTTTATTATTTGTAAAAACATGCATAGAAATCAATAATATCTTCGTTGTATTTTAATTACTTTTGATAATTTTTGTAAAAAAAGAATTTAACAATAAACGTCAGCAAAAGTTTTTCCTTAATAGGAGCTTCCTCTTTTTAAAACATATATACCTTCTTGTAATAACCAATTTAATTTCATTATTTAATAAATATTCGTTGTGTCTTAAACGTGTACAAAAAACAGCAATATTCTTATCGTATTTTAATTATTTTTAATAGTTCTTGCAAGAGAGAAAGCATTTAACAATAAACGTTAGCAAGAGTCTTTCCTTAATACTGAGAATTTCTCTGTTTTCATAGCCCTACACGCTTTTTTATAATCATCATAATTAAATTAGTTTCTAGAAGGAGCAGAAAACATGCATCAGCGCGATGAGTCGCGAGCGGATATTTTCGTGCGCTTTCTCCGAAATTTTCCAAGACGCGTCACTATCCGTTCTCTCTTCATTTTATGAAGAAAGATGCTTCCGAATTGGACGACGAGAAGGCTTTCGATAAAACTAATCATATCCGTGCTCCCTTTTCTTGACATTTTCAAAAAAAAAGGAAAAGGAATGGTGAGGAATTTACAGCGACTTTATTGCGGCATCAAAACATAAAGACGAGAGACGAAACATGCGAAACTGCGAGAGCGAGGTGCACCGTAAAGATTTTTCGCTCTTTCACGGACACTTTCCGAGAATACCGCGGTACAAATTTTGGTAACGCGCGAAGGACTTTCGTAAACATTTCAAAGCGTGCAATCTTGTACGGTTGCGGTCGTTTTGTAATTTACTCGTGCGAATGATCAAACAGAATTGTACACGGAAAAAACGATTTTACTGAAACATCTAAAATTTAACTAGACACAAACCCGAAACTAATTTTATTGAACCGTCAAAATAATGGCAGGAAACTCAAAAGTAATGCTGCAAACTATTTTTATATTCTAGTAATCAGTTTGAACGTCCTACATAATTATTTTGATAGTCAATATAAATTTATTAAGACCGTATATGTGAAAACATCACAAGTAAGAGTTTAATGCCTATTACGGTCGAAACTGGATCTTAGATGCTTTTAAATAATTTCTATGTGAATTTATATACTAAATACGTAGTCATTTTGAATTACGCGTTGAAATGATTTTTCGGACTTATAAACGCAATTAAACTGCTATATATAGTAATATCACAAATTAAATTAATAAGCAATTTAATAATTTGATATTCAATCTGGCATCTTATTAGAAAGATGTTAATGTACTGAAAAACTGTAAATAAATTTATTATTTTGATAGTCTAATAACAAAATTATTTTTTTATTTATATCTGGTTAAATTTTTAGATGCTTCAGTGAAATTGTTCTTTCCGTGTAAAGTGAGAATTTGAATGAAAACTCTGCTTTTTAGAATATCCAAGGGAAATCGTGAGATAAGATATTTTAAGAGCATCTCGCTGGCCTGTTCTTCGAAACGAAAACTCGCGGAGATGCGTGAGATCGACGAATCTGCGCGTGTCACCGAAACCGACAGTGTCTTCAGTGAAATCGTTCTTTCCGTGTAAAGTGAGAATTTGAATGAAAACTCTGCTTTTTAGAATATCCAAGGGAAATCGTGAGATAAGATATTTTAAGAGCATCTCGCTGGTCTATTCTTCGAAACGAAAATTCGCGGAGATGCGTGAGATCGACGAATCTGCGCGTGTCACCGAAACCGACAGTGTCACTCGAATATTTGTGTATTCGAACAGCCAAGATTAGAAATTGCGATACGAACGTGAATAAGAATACGAGAAGAATGCTCGGGAGGACTGTTGCCGTAGGAACAGCGGATTATTCAAAATCCCGTCAACGTCGATCGCAACGCGATTCGGCAATCGAGGGATCGTCCATCAAGTGGCAAACTTTTCCGAAGAAAACCTTTATTTGTCGAATAACGTAGAGTAAATGTGAAGAAAGAGGAGACGTACAGAGCGCACCGCGAGAGGATTATATCACGTTTCTTTGGCGAGAAATGTGAGACTGTTAATGTTTCAGAAGATTAAATACCAAAGATGAACAATAATTGCTACTTAAGAAGACAGTATTTATAGCAGTAAGGATAAGATTTAAAGTAATGTATAAGCTGTAAGAAGTATTTCACATAGTTTTCGATCGATTAAAAGGATCAACCAAAGATACATTTATAGATTTACCAAAGATGTCAGAGTGATTATTAAAAAGCGATGCATATAAAACATATACAACACATATATTTTTGACGATCAAAAAAATATTTTCTTGAAGATTAGAAAGAGGAACCGCAAGGACAATAATTGAAGAAAATGACGTAAGTGATAAAGTAAAATAGATCTCTTTTCGAAAAGTTTTACGAAAGTTGGAAAATATAGGCTAAATAAGAAAATGTACAGTTAACATTTTTTAATAAAATCCATGCGCGTTTTCGGTATTTTACCTTCAAGTTACGAACTCGTGTCGTGCTCGAAAGTGAAAAAGTGGACGAAAAGCTAAACTTTGACGCGGCTAGAAAACGATCTCGAAATCGGGAACAGTGAAAAATGTAGGTAACGAACGATAAAGTGACGTGGAAGGACGTGAAGTCCTGCGGACGTTATTCTGGGGAATCGCCGTGGCCCGGCGTAGCCTCTGATCTCTTATTCTAGTATCGTTCTGGTACCAAGATGCTGGACATATTTCGCGGTCTGAAGAGTCTCATAAAAATCTCGCACATCCATATCGACAGCGCCGTCTTCCGCTTGCATTACAGCCTGACTGTGATCCTGCTGATAGCGTTCTCCCTGATTGTCACAACCCGCCAATACGTTGGCAATCCTATCGACTGTATACACAGCAAGGACCTGCCCGAAGATGTTCTGAACACTTACTGCTGGATACACAGCACCTACACGATAACCGCGGCGTACCGGAAGAGAGAAGGTTTAGAAGTACCCTTTCCTGGCGTCGACAATTCCAAATCGTATTCCGAATCCGAGCGAAAGGAGTACAAATACTACCAGTGGGTCTGCTTCATGCTGTTCCTGCAGGTAATCGATTGACCATTTATATATGGCATTCTTTTTTGCACGAAGAAAGTATTCTCGATCTCGACTTCTTGCATTCGACGAATTTAATTATGCGGGACGAATTCAGATATATGTAGATTCAGATTTGATTTAGCAAAGAAATTTAAGCGTAAAGCGTAAAAAAGATAGTTGTTGCATATATGTGTAAATGTAAGTAATATTAACGAATAATATTTTAGATGACTGAATAATATATATGAATAAGTGTAATATTTTAGATGATTGAATAATAATATAAACAAGTAAAATATTTTGATGGCTGAATAATATTTAATATTAACAAATAAAATTTTGGATAGCTCAATAATATTATTAATAAGTAAAATTTTGAATAGCTAGATAACATCATTAACAAGTAAAATGTTGGATAGCTGAATAATAATAACAAAGGTGCCTATTGCGAAAGTGTGACTAATATGATATATATATACTATAACTGTTTTTGCAAGTGTGGATATCGAAACATTGCCCGCACGCAAAATTGGCCGCGCTACGCGGAACATATGTAATTCGAAGATTCCATCAAAATTTATATGCGTCTATTTAACGCCAAATGTAATAGCCCGATCCTAACTCACGTCTTTCGTGAACGCGCACCGTCGCGTCGATTAGACAAGTGAAACATCAAGCACGTTTAGCGTTGAATGTGTGGTTTGCATACGAGCCATAAAACGTACCGGTGCTTTTAGCGTTGCACTCCTAAGCGTTACTCATCCATCAATCTTTCTGCTCGGACTCGGGCTCGAGCGACCTGCATGTTGCTCGCGAAGGCCTATCATCTAATCTATTGCCAAGAAAGAAACCTTAAGTATAACAATGCACTAAACTTCGTCATTGAGAGTTGCTCGCGTGGTCGTACGAGCAACTCTCAATGACAAAGTTTAGTGCATCGTTATACTTAAGGTTTCTTTCTTGGCAATGGTTAACGAACAGCCTATCGATAGATTAATCGCCTTATTCGAACAAGGTAATTACGACCAAAAACGCTCGGACGATCGCGTTGTTTCACCCTTTCATTTCTAGAAAGTTAAATCGTGTCACGCATCATTAAAAAAAAGAATCTGGTAATAATTATTATACTAAATATATTTTGTTTAGCATATTTAGTAAATATTACCAAACATAATAATAGTAACCAATAGTTTAGTAATAATTAGAAAATAAAATAATGTTTAGAAAAATAAAGTTTAGTTGGTTCTGGTTATACAATATTAACATATATAATTGAAATTACTTCATTAAACTTTATAGTAACTATCATCTAGACTTGATTATTATCAGATTTTTTTCAGTAGGTATATTACAATGACATGCGATAATTAAATACTTAAAGATATAGATAAATGAGCTTTGATACAACAATGATATCAAGGACGTAAATTATTTGGAAGAAATACGATTGTCGTCACGTATTATGATAATGCCATGCACTGTTAATGATTGATATCACACATTATACAACGTCGTGCATTACAAATTATGCAACTTATATAACTTAGAAATATAAATAGATTTGACGGGGCAGTGATGTTAAATACATAAATTATTTAAAAGAAACGATTATCACCGCGCATAACACGATAATACCGTCGCACTGTTAAAAAAGGAAAAATGTTTTTAATGCAAAATTGAGTGTTAAACACTTGCTGTCGTTTATCGCGGCTGATTATTTCAACTAGCTTGAAAGAAATAGGAAGATAATAGACGTAATAGAAAGTTTAGATGAAACGGGTTAATGGCGTGGCGCGAACACCTGAAATAGCGATCCGTAGTATTTTCCTTGTGCTCTCGCGCGTTTCTTTCATACTACTCGCATTGATGTCTCAAAATAAACTCAGTCGACGACAGCCTATCCCTCTACGAAGGTTCTCTTTCTATTTCCTCGTCTCCCTTCGCCGTGTTTTTTCGCCTGGCGTTTCAAAGCAAACTATACAGTTTACAGCGAGTAGTCGCCGCTTTTTTACTGATGTATTCCCTTTCGCTGATTCGCTGATATATGAATCTCCTCACGCATTTCTATAATTATCGTTGAGCTAATTTCGTCGTTTGTTGAACAATGAATTCTTTCCCGTCTGTTCGTGTATTTTGTTCGTCCTTTGTGGTTTAAATCACGTAATGTGTAAATCATGTTATTTTAACTTCGAGATTAACTGACCTTTATTCGTTAACGAAGATTCTTTTAAATTGTTAATTATATTAAAAAATTATATAAAAAGTATGAAAAATATCAGAGATAAATTAAATGAATGAATGAACAAAGAAATGAATATATTTTTCTGATTGGAAATACTAGAAATGGAAGAATTAACGTTCTTTTTTCAGTTTCCCTGGTTGGATAATCGTTAATGACTGCAAGATTACTTGAAAAGTCTAGTGGCTGAAAGAGCCGATGAAAAGGGTGGTTTAACGAGCACCCCATCGACAGATTAATCTCGATTCTTAATCAGAGCACGGTTATCTTATCTCGGCTTCATCGTCTTTTTATCGCTTCCTATTTTTTCTAGTATGGGAGGGAGGTAAGGAGGTGACGATAAATACAGCTTCATAAGTGTTCATTTGGTCCGTTGGAATGTTCTTTTACGCGTGGTAATGGTGCGCTTAATTTCGTTGCCCGGAATATGTGCGCGCCGCACTCGTAACACGGTCGATTAAGCATGTTTTCAATGATGGAGATCGTCGAACTGCCTTGTACTTCCCATCCGCAATACAATTAAAGCGATGAGCTTACAGGAGTTCTACTAACAATAATGTAATCGTCGTGTCATGTAATCTAACGAAGAAAAATAAAAGGATTACAAATCGCATCTCACAGCCATTAATTATTTTACTCGGATATTTCTTTCTTGGTGTTTTGGACAAAAATAGATTTCTCTCCTGAGTTATCGTACGAATTCAATGATACGCACGTAAAGTTTTATTCAAATATTCATCTTCTATTATAAACATTTACAATGTCAATCAATGTACCTATGCGGTACATCAAGATTTTCTTCCGTCTTAATTTTGACGTCATCGGCATAATATATACCGATGACGCGTTACTGAACTCCATTAATATTCATAATTCTGTCATAGGTGATTTCGGATACATATAACCTTGGATACATAGAACCTTGTTATAATATTAGATCTCATTGGCTCGTTTTAAATTTTACAACAAAATGACAAAATCAAAAGTCATCTATTGTTTTTTTCGATGAAACTAGGGTAAATGTCCCAATTACTGCCGCTTTAAGCATATAGTTGTAATTGATATACTTATTTTGAAGCTTTTAAGATATATAATAGACCTCACTTTTTTATTATATTCAAATATAAACTTTAATATACACTAAATAAAAGCAACAAGTTCGAAAACTGACTAATTATTTAAATATAGCGAAAAAAATGATATGTGAGGTATTGAACATATTACTGCCAGCCTTTGTCCAAATACTGTCCCCCCAATTACTGCCACATGTACCTAATACTATCTCTCTATTTACTGCCAGTGTACCAAATTCTACCACCCAATTACTGCACAATGTGCAGTAAATAGAGAGACAGTATTACATGTTGGTGGCATTGCTCAAAGTCACAAAATGTATGAAGCTAATTTTTGCGATATAGGTATCCTTCAGTTTTTAATTATTTCTAAAATTGTAACAGAAGAGTACTTACATATTTATTTTCCTTAACCAATTTTTAGGTTAAAATATAAATTGAAAGCTTTTTCAACACCCTAAACAAAATATGTAGATTAATCATTATACAGATAACAGAAAGTATTATTATATAGTAATAATATTTTCTATATCATTTTACACTAAAAATATCTACCTAGGTAACCAGACACGTGTACGTACACAACAACAACGTGTATGACGGCTATGACAATAACTAGCACATTCACTGGTAACACGACTCATTTATTGCCGGCAGTAATGCAAGCAAACGTTAAATGATTGTCCCTAATGTTACCATTTCAATAAATTAAATAAAAAAGTAATCCCATCACTTTTATATGCTTATTTTAATGAAATATCATTTAAACATTATTATAAATTGCTTTAATACATATAAAAAAGTGAAAATACCACGTTTGCTTGCACTTTCAAATCATGCAGTTCCGCTTTACTTCTAATTAGAAGATCATGGAGTTTGCATCTTC